ATTATATGATGTATTATATAAAAATTCGATTATCTTAAAGAACAAAATGATCATTAAACTTTTAACTGTAAAAGTTTATTTATATCACAATTTGTAAAAGTTCTTCAGTTATCACACTAAGGCTACAAAAATTATAGCCTAGTAACATGAGAATGCACATGGATCACTTTAAGTCAACTCGGGGATAGGTTGTAGCTAGCTCTACTATAGATTGCTCGAATGTTACTTCGCTTTTTGCAAAAAAAATGACACTTTAACACTGGACAGTACATTCAATATTATATAGAAGGCTTAAATGCGGGACCACATTCACATGAGTTGAGGAGTGCATGGGGATATGCAACCATTTGAATGAGTGGAGGGGATTATGCTACATCACTACCAAACATAACTTTTTATGCTTGGTACCAAGCATACCCATTTTTCTTATATATATATATATATATATATAATATATATATATATATATATGTTATATATAATATATATATATATATATATATATATATATATATATATATATATATATATTATATATATATATATATATTATATATATATATATATATATATATATATATATATATATATATATATATATATATATGAAATAAGTTGATCCAAATTTATCAGCCGCTGATCATTCAATTCAATATACAAAATTTCGATTTTTGAATGGAGGGTTTATATGAGATTAATGGGTATCCTTGACAAGCGAGGGGGATTCCCATCATTAACAATGATGTGGCACAATCCCCACATGCATGAAATTCTCTCTCCTACTTTATTCTCTCTCCTTCACATGGTGGGGATTGTGCCACATCATTGTTAATGAGGAAAATCCCCTCATTGTCAAGGATACTCATTAATCTCTCTCTCTCTCATCTCTCTTCTATATATATATATATATATATATATATATATATATATATGAGAAAACTGTAGAAGCACTGCCCAGTGCACGGTGCGGAGCGCTGCCTGGGTTTTTCTGAAAAATTCCACACCGCGATTCTCAAAAAAGGACGTTCTCTCTCTCTCTCTCCCTCCGTAACTCTCAGATCCCCAAATTTGGAGAATCCCTCTTCCTCCCCATTCAATCTCAAAAACTCAGATCTCTCTCCCCAATTCCAACGAGATCCAGTTCTTCAACATTCCTCGTTCGATCTCCCTCCTCCACGAGCTACAAGGCGGTCCTCCTCCACGAGATCCAGTCCCCCGCCACCGTGCGTCGGTTTCTTCAACATTCCTCGTTCGATCTCCCCAATTTTCTCAGATCCCCAATTGCTCGTCGGTTTTTTCCCCGCCACGAGAACCAGTGCGCCGCCACCCGCCACGACCTCCTCCTCCACGAGATCCAGTCCCCCGCCACCCACCACGAATCCCTCCTCCCTCGCGATCTAGTCCCCCAATCTAGGTCATTTTCTATTTTAAAATTGAATTTGTGTGCTCAAAATAAGACCATTAATTTCTCTCCAATTTGTCGTGATTAATTAGCAGAAAACTCACTTTCTTAAAACCAATCATTTATTGATACTGGCAAGGGGACTATTTACGATTAGACAAATAATAATCTTGGAGGTACAATGGTCATGTGTAGCTCTTTCCATTCCCAACATCAATAATTAGGATTGGTATTCCATTTTGCAGATTAGTTTACATGATTCCTACATTAATCCGATTTTTTTTCTTCATTTAATTGGAGCTAACGTCAAGGACATTGCTAGGAGGCTAAATATGAGCAAATCCCCTATTAAGTTTGCTCGTTCATCAGATAAACCCATTTGAGTTTAAAACTATCAAATAAGCCCCCTTAATTTGGGGTGTTACAGAAGACCACTTTAAGTTTGAGATTTTTTTTTTGCAACTAACACCCATATTGGTGCTATATGAAATGGTAAAATGTCCAGGTTATCCTTTTTCAGATTATAATTATAATTAACAAATTAAACTAAATTAATTAATAATAATTGAATTAATAAATCCCTAAACCTATTCTGATCCTAACTATAATTAGAGATGGCATGGCCACGGCCGAGGCATTTCATTCAGGGGCATTTTAGACATTTTATTGCTGATGACTATAGTAGATTTACACTAGATTGTTTTGAGAGTTTAAACTGAAGTATTTATTTGGGTTTTTATAGTTGTTTCTTGATGAATCCATGCATTTCTTTTACAGCAAATAAAGTGTTCGAAATGGGAGAATCAAGTGCTAGTGGAATTGAAATTCATGCCAATACAGAAAATGCTCCTAAACCACTACTCGGAATGAAATTTAATACTTATGAAGAAGTTTAGAACTATTATAACTATTACGCATTGTTGATGGGTTTTGGAATAAGGAAGAGCACGGTAAATTACTCAAAGAAGACAAGAGATGTGCTAGACAGAAAGTTTGTTTGTGATAAGGAGGGCTATAGATCTAATAGAGACAAGATGGAGATGCCTTTTTGGTGAGAGACCCGAGTGGAATGTAAGTCAATGATGAGAGTTAAAGTATTGGAGGACAAATCGTGAGAGGTCACGGGGTTTGTTGAAGAATATACAAATCATGTGTTGAGTAGTCCAGACAAAGCAAAGATGCACAGATCACACCAAAGTGCTTCTCTCATTCACTCAAAAGCCTCTTCATACGTTGCATACCCTTTGTAGAAGGCTTTTGGGAATCTATCAACTTGAGATTTGCATTCCTCCCAATTATAAAAAATGCCACAACGTCGACATCTCTTTACAACATAAAAACTCTTTCTTGCCATTATATCACCTGGAAATTTGTGCCTTGAAAAGAGATTATCAATGGGAAAAAGACAAGTGAATATTGATGCTCCAGTTCTATATATAGTGTAGTATTATCTAACAAGGATAGGGTGAATGAACAATTTGTTCTCTACCATTGTATAGTCAAAATTAACACTCTTTGCTACTGAATTAACACAACTTGGATAAGCATTATCCTTCTTTCTCTACGACCTGTTAATAGCTTATTATGTCTGCATAATGTCACTACCAGTGTTGGTCGTTACTTTTGCATGACTGTATATCCTTGAATGACTGTGTATCCTTGACAAGTATTAGCAAGCGTCATTTTTTAAATATGCTCTAATAATTTATGCACGCCCTAGGAAACTATATCTTATATGCTGTGACGCATGTTTGCTATGTCCTTCATGCTTTGATAGGTCATTATCCTTGAGAATAGTTTCATCTTTTACTGAACTTAATGCCAGGAAGCTCATTGCGGTGCTAATCTGAGCAACCTTTTTCAATCAACAGTGTTATGCCTGTACATTCATTTTTGCCACCATTTTTATGAGCTCCACATCTGTATAGCAGTCCAGTTTGTGATGTTGCATACGCTGCGACAACAACAAATCTGAATCTCAAAGCATATGAGTCTATATGTATGACTCCATGATCAACTGATGGATTCATATTTCCATCTTGTTACACCAAGAAGTATTTGAAACTAAGGGAGTTTAGTGAATAAAATTCGAAGAAATCTATTATTGGACTATAATAGCTATCAGGCATATACATCCGTTGAGTATGAAAAAATCTAAACATAAAGTGCTTCAACTCATAGAACTTTTTATCACATTCACATTTAAAGTGGGTAATGAGAGAGTGGCACCATTTCAGTAGGATTATTTCTGAGGTGTTTCTGCAGAAATTCTAGTTAATTTTCCTCAAGAAAAAGTAAACCACATTAATAGTCAAAATTAACACTCTTTGCTACTGAATTTGAGCTCAACTGTATAGTCAAAATTAAAAAAAAACCACATTGATGTAGAACCAAAATCAATTTGAGCTCAACTGTAATTGTTTCTAGCTCATCATGAGGAGTATATGTTACAAAATTAACACTCTTTGCTACTGAATTCAATCAAAGATGATGAAGAATGATGGAATACCTTGTAAGCGGTCACAGTTCTCAGCCACATTGCGTGTGAGAGATCGAGCGAGGGAGTAGGGATTCGTGGCGGGTGGCGGGGGACTGGATCTCTTGGAGGAGGTCGTGGCGGGTGGCGGCGCACTGGAGCTCATGGCGGGGGACTAGATCT